TAAAATGTGGAAGGTGATCAGAACTCAAGGTTGTCACAAGGATTCAATGATTAATGAAAGGTGTTCATCATGGAACCATCACTCACAGTCACGATTGCACTGTGTGTGACCTTAGTCTTGGGGAAGCAACATTTCTGGGCAAACTTACTGCCACTAACATGGCTTTATGGGGGCTGGAACCTCGCTGCTTTTGCAGAAGACCCAGGTTCGGTTCCCAGCCCCCACATGGCTGCTCAAGACCATCTGTAACTCCAGGAGATCTTCTGCCCTCCTCTGGCTGCTTCAGGCTCCTGCATGCGAGCGTGCACACAGACCCGTGCAGGCAAACACATACATGTAAATAAAATAAATTAATAAATTAGAAGAAGAAAATGACACTGTCAAGCCAGGTATCACTACACACAACTGTGATCCCCAAATTCAGGAGGCTGAAGCGGGAGGATCAAGAATTTAAGTCCGGCTTGGGCTTAGCACTAAGACCTTATCTGAACACACACACACACACACACACACACACACACACACACACACACACACGCTACCTCAGGGCCATTTCCATGTAATTAGGAAGATCATAGATCTGAAAAAACAAACAAACAAACAAACAAACCTTTATTTTAAAATCAATGAGAACAAACATGGATTGATAGCTGGTCAACCTAAGTTCCTGCGTGTGTGGTGTGCATGGGATACATGTCTCACATGTTTGTGGGCACATGTGGGTGGGAGTTTCACATGCTTGTATGTGCACATGCTCATGGAAGGCAGAGGGTGCCGTCGAGTCACTCCTTCCATCCCTCTCCACTGTACCGCGGCAAAGTCTCTTCAACGCAGAGCTCACCCCTCCCCCCAGCTCGTCTAGCTGGCCAGCTTTTCCTGGGGAATCCTCTCTCTTCCGCCCCTGCGAGCTGGCATTCTAGGGAGGCCAGCATAGCCACAGGTTTTATGTGAGTTCTGGGGACCCAGACTCTAGTCCTCATCTTGCACAACAGATGCGACCCGACAAAACCAAACAAAGATGGCTGCGCCCGGTCATAGGCCTGTGTGGCAGGTATTTGGGCGGGGAGGACTCGGGAGAGCTACGCTCTGGAATCACGTGTGTGGGGGCGTCAACGCAGGGCCAGGCTCGCCAAGGGGGCGTGCCCTCCGAGCTCTGCCCACCCTGTCCATATTCCGGCTCACACCACACAGCACCAGGGCTCTAGCATGTTCCCCAGCCACACCTGGGCTTGAGGATGCTGTGTGTTCTCTGCATTAACACCAGCGAATGTCCCTCACTCACAGAGACAGAAACTAAAAACAACCAGCGTCAAGAACGTCCACAAAAAAGCCTGCCTTCCACCATCGCTCCGCCAGAGAGAGCCGCTCCGCAGGCGTGGTCTTTACCCTGCAGGCTCTCGTGGTGCCGAGGATGGAGCCCAGGACCTCACATGGGCTAGGCGGGTGTTCCTACTGCTCTGACCTACACTTCCAGCGCTCCTTGTACTTTTTTTCATTACAAGATTTTAGTTTTCATCTTATTTTATGTGTTGGTGTTTTGTCTCCAGGTTATCTCTGTATGCTACGTGTGCGTGTAATACCTGGAAAGACCAGAAGAGGGCATCAGGCTTGGTGGCTAACACCTTTCCTCTAGGCCGCTATGCTGACCCTCATTTTCTTAATGTCTCTTATAGAGCTTTGATTAACGATTAAAAAAATGCAACTGTGTGTTGTTCTGGTATCCTCTGCTTGGCAAACTGGTATTGCCTGTCTGCCTGCTCGCCCTCCCTCCCTCCCTTCCTCCTTTCTTTTTTCTTTCCTTCCTTCTTCCCTCTCTTTCCTACCTGATTTCTTTTTTTATTAATTATTATTATTATTATTATTATTATTATTATTATTATTGTTTATGAGTATTTGTCTACATGTATGAATGTGCACCAGAAGAGGTACTGGATACCCTGGATCTGGAGTTACAGATGGTTGTGAGCTGACATGTGTGTGCTGGAAATCAAACCCCTCTAAGCCACTGCTCCTGCCTCCTGTATTGCCTTAATTTGGTTAGTGTTGTTCATTCCCACAGACTAGCCACGAACAAAACAGACAGCATTCCTTTCGCATTCCTGGCGTCTGTTCAGAATCATGGTCCAGGTCTCTCTAAAGAAGCACTGGATGGCTGATGGAGACTCATGTGTGACTTGCAGGTCAAAGGACAGAGCAGGGTGGAAATGTTCTTTTTCCCCATTCTGTTTCCTACCTTCATTTTCCTCATCCCCAGAGGCTCAAGGATCCTTCCAGAAAGAGGCTCTGAATTTACAAAGAAATACATGGGCACGTTTTGCTGGAGAGTGGGAGATTCTGCTCAGGAGGTCTTAGAAACCACCGTCTGCTGCCTTGTCATTTTATTTGACAGTGGTGTGAGCTTCTGGAACTTCCTCCCTTGTAAAAGTATGCTTTATTTGCCTGATTTAATTGTCTTCTTGGAGACTTACTGCCTCCGTCTGCTAACCCAGGCCTAGACCTGGAATCTTCTAGCCTTCGTACAGTCTAATCTAGGCATAGAATGCTTTCAGCCTGAGACTTCCTGCTGAATAAGCTCACTGTTTGTGCTTGTTTCTAAACTCTATTTTATTTAGGCCTTTATCTCCCTTCCACCAACCCTTTAACCCTAGGTAGGAGAGAGAAGGTTAGTGGGGAGAGGGCACAGCCCCCTTTACTCCTCTGGGCTGTTGAGGGTTATACCAATCCCCATCAACAGCCAGCAGTCTCCTCCAAGCCACTGTATTGAAACGTTTCTGTCTGTCTCCTCCAGGGTGCCACACTGTTCATTCTGGTCTCTCCAAACTGCCACACTTTCTCTCTGGGCTCTCCTGTTTATATTCCTCAGAGTCCTAGACCACGCCCCTCTTCGTGCGGCACAAGGCAGGCTGGTAAAGACCATGCCCCACTAGAGGCAGTTATCAGCTGTAGACAAACTAAAGCCCAAACTAAAATCTCATACTTGGGATTAAAACAGAAACATATTTACGTATATAATTGACTTTTTAAAGAAACCAAAACCTCCATTAAACTCAACCTTTCTAGTTCTTTCTGAACTCTGGCTGGCTGGTTCAACTCAGCTATTCTGGCTCAAATTCCATTTCGAGATGAATGATTCAGTCTGGCTTCTCTCAGTTTCTCACTGAATTGCTCTGCTTGGCCTCAAACTAACTCTGGCAATCTGTTTTAATCTTCTGGCTCCTTCTCACTCTCTGGCTTGTTCTGTCTTCACCTGTGTTTAGCTTGTTCTCTCTTCAGTCTCTGTAAAACTGTTCTGATTAAAAAAAAAAAAAACAACAACAAAACAACAACAACAACAAAAAACTGCTTCTGAATTCCATGAACTGATCTGCCATTAACTTAACTCTATTGCACTGCCTCTCAACTCATTGACTCAGCCTGTCTCAACAGCACTGACTAGAACTCAGAGATTTGCATGCCTCTCTCTCCTGGCATTAAAAGTGTGTCTGTATTCCAGCCAGATCACACAGACCCGGAAGATTTTTGGATGTGATCTCTTTCCAGAGCATGTATGTTCTGAATTAACATTCTTCTACAGCCACTTACCACCCCTTTTTACCAGTGAAATGTTTATGCAACTGGGGTATGCGGGTGTAACTATTCTAATATTACTGATTATAAATCATAGCAAAGTTTATTTCAGAGTGATTATATATATTTATATGATGTCACCATTTATTAAAGATGAAAATGAATGTGTGTACTAGTGAGATGGGTGTGCTTATTATTTATTTTTATATGAATAACTAAAACTGAACTGAACATTTGATATTTGATACTGCAGGGTGCAGGGTGTTTTCGAGGTTTCTTAGAGCCAGTTGATATTCTGATTTTATCATTGTCAGTACCGAGAATGCTGCTTTGCATAAAAACAGAGTATGAGATGGTAGAAACGGGTTCAGCACCATTTCGAAGTCATTGAAAATTCTGTCCTAATCCCCAGACAATTCATTTCGTGATTTTTAAAAACCGTGGGATGGGGACACTTGTGGGCATTGCCAGGAACACCCCAGAACCCTACGTGTTTGATCTGGAATGAACTTTCGGTTAGTGCATATTCAGAAATCTTTAATGTCCCCCAAACTTTCCAGACCCGACCCTGCGTTCAGTTGTGCACGACTCACAGCTTAGGAGCTGGGGCGTAGGGGTCCCTGTGTGGCTACTGCACGGTATACTATGTCGTGAGTGGGTTCACAGAGTGTTCACAGCCTTTTGCTATTGTAAGCAGAACTGTTAAAAAAAAAAATAATCCTCGGGCATAGTTCCAAAGGTGGGTGCCATAGAATGAGCTTCTAGACGTGCAATTGCTGGGTCAGAGGATCCATTGGGTTAAAATGGTGGCTACTACCACAAAGAGGACGCGCCATCCTGCAGCCACCGCAGCAAAATACCGAGGTCTACCTGTTGGCCCGTCTTCAGCAACACGGTGAGAATGGGGTGGCATCTTAGTTCGTTTTGTGTGGCTCTAACAAGATACCGGAAGCAAGGTACTTCATAAAGAAAACAAACGTATTTGGCTCACGATTCTGGCAGCTGGAGGGTCGAGGCAGACTGTCGCTCTGTAACATTCGGGGAAGGGAGGAGCTGGCTGCAGGTAGAAGGGACCGAGGACGTGTGTGTGTGTGTGTGTGTGTGTGTGTGTGTGTGTGTGTGTGTGTG